GGCAGGGCTGGTGAGAAAGGCTATGCGAGTCCAGAAATGTGGGAGCCGCCAAAATATGTACCCCAGTGCTTGAAGAAAGTAAAGTTATACCTGTGCCCTACCAAAACATGATTCGACTTAAGAAGCGCAACAATCACTAGGGTCATTTACCAATAAATTGGGTTTCCAAAACAGCTACATATGTTTTGGCCTATAGGTGTGACATAGCTGCGTGGTCCATGTCCTAAGGTGGCTGCCCCCATGCCTGTGACGCAAAAGACCCCGGAAGATCTAGTGGAAGCTGGGCAAGATTGATAGTTCGAAAGAGTTAAACTACAGGCCCTAGGAGGCCCTACGGAGAGCACCTAGTTTGCTGGTTTCAAACGTGTTTGTTTTTCCAAGCTGCCTGGGGTAATGATCCCAATTCAGACAGTTTGCAACACCAATCCGTAGCTGCAAGATTAAGATAATGATGGCCTGCTTGGAACAGGAAAGTTGTTGTGTCACAGCTTTTGGAGGTCGCGATCCGGAGATCACCGTGAAAGATGTATTTGGGTCAAGTATCCATGGCTATGGCTTGGCAGTAAAGGTGGTTTAGAGGGATGACTTGGCTACGGATGCGAGTTTCTTGCATGTTTCATCCCTCCCAGGACACAGTGGAGGACTCCCAGGACACGGTGGAAGCCACAGAAGCCGAGACGCCAGATGCTGCAAATTTGGCGCAAGGAAATGCTGAAACAGCCAGAAGAGTTGAGGCAGAGGAACAGCCAGGTGAAACTGGTCAGCCAGAAGATGCAGAACCAGAGGATCAGCCAGAGGATCAGACCGAGGCTGAGCCGTCAGAAGCGCTGGAAGCGTCAAAAGATACAAAGGTGGCATGGGAATTGGAGGATGAGGCAGGACCCGCTGGAGGGATGGGGCGTCAAGGCGTCAAGCAAGGTGGAAAAGCAAGAGCCGTGTAAAATGACTTTGAGGCTGAGGTGCTATTTGTGTCAACAAGGGAATCTGCCCTCATACCGAAGTACACATTTCTGATTTATTTGTACCGTTTTGTACCACTGGGCGGTGCAGGCTACAGTTGAGGAGGAGAACTCTGCCCGGCCCTTCACCTTGGGGGAGGAGGATGATATGCAAGAGCAGAATGAGCTGAGCTTAAAAACGAGTGCGAATTCAGAAAGAATGGGCTCTTGATATCGACCACGTCGAAGAAGTGAAGATACTGCAAGATGTTGCAAGATCACGATTTCGGTTCATTACTCGTTTTGAAGGTGAGAAATTGGAGGAAATAATTTTGAATCGAAACAAAACAGAGCATATGAGAGTGGCAGACTATGGCAGTCTATGGCAAAGTCTTGTATCTTCCAGTAAGTCCTGTATGATCTGCACGCAATGCCGAGGCCACTGTGGGGCAGGAAGTGGACGAGGCTCAAAACTGAACAAATTCATGTGGGCGGTTGAATTTTGACCCACATGTTCCTTAAACATTACCAATAAGTTATTGCAGATTCAGCATAGTAAATGAACACATTGCTTTTCTCTATCGGTCAATTCCCTTTTATTCAGGTGCCATCTCGTTACTTTCAGGTTTCATGTTTTGAAGTGTTCAACACTCATCATAGCCCAATTCCTGCTTCCCAGCATCTCTGATGTTCTGCTTTGGTGGTGCATTCATACCCACACTGGATAGTGACAGGCATGCATTTGTGCTGTTTCATGCGGCTTGATGGCTGTGAGAAATAAGCCAGCTGAGCCCATGGCAATATGTTCTGGCATTTAATGGAGCTTCAGCAGAGAATGCGAAACAGCGTGCCATTCAACCGCTAAGCATTTCAGTTCACTCTCTCTTTGCTGACAGACTTCGGCCGAACCCCTGGCAATCACATATATACCGATGCAATCCTCATGCAATACAGGATTCAACATTCATGTCAAATCCTTGCGGCTATCTTTGTGGTGCCGGCACCGGCGCAGCTGACGCCAGGCCCCCCTTCAAAGACAAACCGTTATATTTACTGTAGGTCTTCAGAATTTTGTTTCTCAGCTGACACCACCAAAGGAGCCACAGAACCACACCTGCCAAAATCAGGGAGGAACAATGGCTTGGACCCAACCACCACCCCAAAGAAGGTGTCTGTTTTTGGCCAAACTACCAACCACCTTTGGGGCGGCTTTTCAGCGCCCAAAATGCCCAGAGATTTTGCCGGAATATCCGAAAAGATCTTCAAGACAATCTGCATCACCCCCTGTTGGTTCACATTCAAAATGTTCCAGGGGTGATGGTTTTACCCGGGACATCACCCCGATGAAGATTGCTTTCAAAGCAATGTGCAGTTGTAAATTGCTGGTTGGTATCTGGAGCACCTGTTCTTACACATGCTTGAGGATGACTTGATTGTGACATGCCTCCCCCTGTCAGCTTGTCCATCTGTCAGGGTATATGGCTTCACGCGGACCATCACCCTTGGAAAATGTCCGGTCCTGTCCCCCAAAAGGGCGATGTAGATTGTCTCGTAGACCCTTTCGGATATTTTGGCAAAATATCTTGTGGATATTTTGGCAAAATGTGTTTTTAGGTTTCGAACATGCGGTGGCTTTAACCTTTTGACTTCGAAATTCACTTGGCGCCACAGCTGGGTGCACTTTTTGGACGTTCATCCCGCCAGATGGCTCCGCACCCGCTACTTTAGCGAGCAACACACTGGAAAAACACGGCTTTTCTACTTTTTCATGCACGTGAATCTTCTTTCTGCTTTCTCTCTATATTGGATTTTCTGACTCTTCTCAAGAGTGTGGCTGCATTTGTCCAAAGTCGGAAGTTTGACTTCTAAACTTCCTTCATTTTCCTTCGAAATCCTTCGAATAATAGAGACGTAGAGACATTTGAGCTACAGTAATTGTATGATGTTGCATGCTTGCAATTTCAAACATGTGTTTTTTCACCATCCCTGGATGAAAGCCCCTTGGCAACTGGGGTGACAACACATTCCGTCGGACGCCTGGAGGAAAGTGAGGAAGCCATCGAGCAGCCGGAGTTGAAGGTTCCGGTAGTTCACAGCTGAGTGGACAATGGATTGTGATAGTCCATGATGAAATAAAGTATAATATAATAGAATATAGCACAATATACTTTGACATGATATGATATGATTTCACTAAATTTTTAATTTAATATAACACAATTGACAATATATAATGTAACATAATACCATTCAATATATAACAATTGACAGTAATGTAACATAATACCATTCAATATATATATAGATATGCAGCTTCTGCAGCTTCTAGATGTTTTATATTTGATTTAGAGTACAAATTCGGATACAATATAAACATTGTGATAATCCATAACAACCCATGATATCATCCATATAGGATGGCAGAACCCTATGTATACAGTCCACAAGTTCCACCATACCATCCGTGATACAGGTGTTTTGTTGAGTTTTCATTGAGTTGAGGTTGACAAGCTGCTGCAAGTTCAGTAGTAGTGTACCAACCTTGGAAACCTTGATCTAGCATTGAATCGATGCATTCTGGGGGTCCAAGTTGGGTGTATTTGATTGCGATATTTGGTATATTTCACGATAATTCCACCATGCCAGACCACCATTTTGATGACAAAAACGCACATTAAATATAAATATCCTTGGCCATTGGATTTACGTGATTCTAGCCATTGGTGAACATAGCTGACACGAGTCTTTTTCGCCTGTACAAAACAATCGTTGACTAGTAGCCATTGGCCAGGATGGCTGACCAGTTTAAATATAATATACATTAACCATTGGCCATGAAGCAAACATGAAAAATTAACCATGTTTAATATACTTAAATGGGTAAATCACCATGTTTAACCCATTTTTGACAATCGGTTGCATGTTTGATAGTTTGGGAGGAGAAATAACCCAACTATATATTGTGATTCGTTTTCTTAAGGTTTTTAAACCGTTGTGCAACCCAACTATTTCACCCACATATAGATGAAATGGCGACCTCCTGCAACCGCACTGAAATGATAAACGGCCGATTTGTTCAAATTAGCGAATTACTTTAAGTCACCCAGAAATTAAATTCATTATATCACATTTTTGTTGGTACATCTACCAATTGCCCATTGGAATCCCATTAAATTACCATCAAATCCCTATGAAATCCCATTAATTCCCATGAAAATCTCACCCTATGAAATCCCTTTAAATCCTTTTTAAGTCCCACATGTTTCAAGTTTTTGTAACCCACCTTTCTGGGGCGAAAAAGACTGCGGCCACCAGGAAGGCGATGAGCAGATCAATGGCAAGGCGCGAAGAAACGCGGGTAGAGTTTAATACGGATTTGTATGGTGATTTTGTGGAAGTTTTTTTTTCCTGATCTTTTCAGGATTTTATAGATAAGAGTTTTATGGATTTATGAAGTATAGATAGGGGGTTGCCGCAACAACTTGAATTGTCATCAGATTTCAGTGGAAGAAAACAGTTCACCCTTACATTGTGTAAATTGGATTGATTTTGGAGAGGAGATTAGAGATTCTACAAAAAAAGATAGTGCCCGAAAAAACGCGTTTCAACACCAACAATTTGAGGTTTGTGCCAGCAACATTTGGCAATTTTGCAACTAACATTGCAGGACATAATCGCCAGACATGGGGCTCGCTAAAGCGGCAGGTGCGCAGCCATCTGGCCAGATGAGAGATGAAAAAGTGCACGCTGTTGTGGCGCAAAGCACATTTGCAAGTGAAAAAGCTAAAAACGGAACACTTTTGGAAGTTGAGATGTCGAAAAAGTGGGCGCCGTTGTGGCGTGAAGCACATTTCGAAGTCAAAATGTACAAAACACATCAGCTTCGGAGCACTTTTAGAAGTTGCGATGTCGAAAAAGTGCACGCTATTGTGGCGCGAAGCACATTTCGAAATCAACATGTACAAAAAACACCAGGTCCGGACCACGTTTGGAAGTTGAGATGTCGAAAAAGTGCATGCCATTGTGGCGCGAAGCACATTTCGAAGTCAAAATGTACAAAGCGCCTCAGCTTCGGAGCACTTTTAGAAGTTGCGATGTCGAAAAAGTGCACGCCGTTGTGGCGCGAAGCACATTTCGAAGTCAAAATGTCAAAAACACCAGGGGTTCGGACCACTTTTGGACGTTCAGATGTTGTTCCGCGTGGCAGGCGCAAGGGATTGTGGACCTTGTCAAAAGTGAGCAAAACGCGATGGTTTTGTAGCATGTCCAAAAGCGATTGCAGGCGTGGGACATTTGAAGAGGATCTGCAAAGATGCATTTTCCGTGGCAGGCGCAGTACAAGAGACATTTTCATCAGAGCTGGGAGGTCCGGGCGCTGATTTCCTGAGAGGGGTTGCATTTTGGAGCCTCAGATCTTTAGGTTTGCTGAGATGATTTTGCGTGACAGGTGCAGCACTTCGCATGACCTGGCATCACTTTTTCGTGGCAGGCGCAGTACTTTAGACAGGTGGACTGGAAAAATCGCAAAACGCATTGGCACGAGGCCGTCAGCTCTGCACTCAACTTTCCATTTTTGAAGGAAGTCTCGCAGAATTCTTTCGTTTTTGATGTTGTCAACTTCGAAAAATGAGGAAGTCTCGCAGAATTGCTTCGTTTTTGACGTTGTCACGTTTAAACATTGAGGAAATCTCGGAGAATTGCTGCGTTTTTGATGTTGTCAAGTTCAAAAACTGAGGAAGTCTCGCGGAATAGCTTCGTTTTCAAACTTGCAGATAGACAGGTAGATAGACAGACAGACAGAGAGATAGAGAGATGGATAGATCGATCGATAGATCGATAGATCGATAGATAGACAGACAGAGAGATAGAGAGATAGAGAGATAGATAGATAGATAGATGGATGGATAGATAGATAGGTAAATAGATAGATAGATAAAGAAATAGACAGACAGACAGACAGACAGACAGGGAGGGAGGTAGGTAGGTAGGTAGGTAGATAGTCAGAGAAAGAGAGAAAGAAAGAGAGAAAGAGAGAAAGAGAGAAAGAGAGAAAGAGAGAAAGAGAGGAGACCTTAACCACCTGTCGGTCCATCAGTGGCTTCGCTCTGCCATCCGCGATTCACAACAACCAATCTCTCATAAAGGTTTCCTATTTTTGAAACTTCCGCCACGGCCTTGTGCGATACTACTGGTAGTGGTTAATTACCAGTTGATGAACATTAATATTTCTATCAAAAGCCAAACCAAAGTGTTGCAACATCGACTTTCCGCACGCAGGTCTCCTCACCCGGAGCCCAGCCCTTGGAGCCTTCGGAGCAGCGCATGGAGGACGTCGCATGGCTACGTTTGATTGCCGTTTTTTGAAAAGTTTGTGCACCTTGTTTGGAATGAGGATACGTGTTCAACAGTTTTGTTTGAATTGTTTACTAATGTATATGTATGTATGTGTGTGTGTGTGTTTGTGTTATGTCGTGTTAAATGTCAAGACATGTTTGGGACGGGTTGGATGTCCACCAGCCAGCCGTTTTGACCTTGATTATGTTTGGAATGGCTCATTTCCTGTTCCCTGATCATCCCAATGGCTGCCCCAGGATGCTGCACATGAAGAAACAAAGGATGCGGAGAAAGCGGAGCAAGAAGAGGCTGGATGTGGTAGGCACCAGTGTTAAGGAGGTTGGAAAACCACCTATATGCCTACATAGTTGGCTTTAGTATTTCCCAAGACCCTCTTTGGAAACATGGGTTTCACAAACTAAGGTGGGTATTATTCATTAATTTTATCTGGACATGATTTACTGGCAAAAACTCTTTGTGTCCTTTTATGCGGTGACCCATGGAACCAGGGGTTTCACTTTAACTTGGAATGTTTGAAGATAAGGGGCCGGGGGTGCTTGGGAGGAAAGCAAACTGGACGAATGGGCAGAGAAACCCACAATTTGAGGCTGCCAACGGGATCTCTGAACTTCAAGGCTGACAACAAGTTCAGACCCTACAGACCAATTTCTCATCCCCACCCGCGAAACCTATTATTGTTTTGCATGGCACCATGGGATCGAAAACCCATGGCCCACTCTAGACAGAGACGCAACAAAATCGGCCTCGTGCATTGTCTTGCGCTAGGCTGCTCTGAATTCAGCGCTTGAGGAAGAAGGTGCTGAAGCAGAGGAGGGAACAAGCAGCGCATATTAAAGTTCATCACCCACTACGTCAACGGACTTTTTTGCCAGGGAGCTTCAGTTCATTCCTTCCAGCCAGAGCCGTATGTGATCCCCATTCTGTGTTTCTTTCATAAATTGGTCAAGGTGGTCGTTTGAGATGTCAAGTGTCATTAAGTGGTTGTCTCTGTGGCTGGCCATGCAGAATCTCAGCATCTTTGTAGCAAATTCCCTAGTGACTGCAGCTGCAGCCAGGACAATCATGAAGGGCACCAAGATGCCATAGAAGAGAGTAAGGAGGAGCAGGGTGAGCAGGACAGGGCTTGACCACGGGGAAGTAGCAAGCGCATGGAAGTTCATGGAAGTGCCAGTTTTTCAATATTTCTGAAATGCTGGACTTGCCTTTC